TGAAATATTACCTGTAAGGTGTCACGTCCCCCCTCCCCCCCTCCTCGAGCACGTTTCGAGAGAACATGGATGTCATGAGCACCATTCGCAAAGCGTAAATAATTCCTCCCACGCCGGATGCTGCTGTGCAACCACTGGAAAGGCAAAAGGGGGACGGTCGGCCAAGGATCTGGCTGCAGGATAGACATCCCTCCTGTACTACCAGGTATGGGGGGGCAGTGAAGAGTGGAGCGAACGGCTCTCTCGCATCCGCCGCTGTTTCCTGACTGTCGGGCCTCTTTCTCTGCGAACCTCAGGAGGCCCGAGCACCCCGCTGTCAGTTAGGAGTTTGCCTATCCTAACCAAGGAGAGATGGAAGTATGGGAAAAAGCAAAAAAAAAGAAAAGGTGTTTCTCACCCTGTATCCGTATACATAGTTTATATCCTTACAACCCAGATACCTACCGTACTCTGTATGGATAAAGTAAATATCAACGTATGCAATACTCCTACTATGGAATGTGGACATGGATTCTCGGCGTTACTACGGAGCAGGATCTACTGTCACTTGACGGGGTAATTAATTTACAGTAAACACAGGCATCTCCAATTCTCCATAGATTAATTAATGGGCAAGGTTCCGGGGGGAAGGTAAGAGCACTCCGTCGGCGGTAGCAGGTTGTCAAAATGCACAGCACCTGTAACGGACATCTTAGGTATTCCAGATTGATTAACTGTGCACCTGCATTTACAGGTAATGAAGTGTATGTATCTATGTACAGTACATTGTTATTTACATACATACATATATACATCAATACATACATGTAACCAAACATCTGCCCGGATATAATATCATGGATTATTATTCTCGCATAATTTACCTACTGTGAAAGCTGAAGGATGAAAAGCGATAAATGAATTCCTTTCGATAGCTATCGTGGGTCGATCGTTTTTTTGTCAACCTTCTCAAAACGGTTAACCTTTTTTTTTTTTTTTTTCTCAGGATCCATGGACAAGTCGTGGTACATACGTAACTCACTAGGCAATGTAGGGAGGGAGTTGATCGAGATACCCGGATCTCCCGCGCTCTCAATGCCGCATAATTACACCCGACGGTACTTCGATCGTTGGGAGCATGACGTCGAGGTACGGGACTAGTAAGGAAGAGAAAAAGAAAAAAAGGTGCCCGCGGCGTTATTGGCCGCCCTCCTCGGTCGGGGTTCATATGTCCCCTATCGGGGACCATGTGGTTCCCGATTCGCCCAAGTGCCCGGCTTGGATGGCAGCGCGCCAACCTCGTTAGGGCTTAGGGCCATTTTGGCCTCTACCTGGTCTGTACGCCGACCGGAGTATAGGCCGCAGGTGACAAGGTTGAAGGTACAGCCAGCCCACTTGAAGAGGCGGATTGCTGCAGCTCTAACCTCCACCGTCACCGCCAACCTCACTAAGAGTAACCCGCCTTCCAACATATTCATCATGATAAAAATCAATATTAAATAAAATAAAAATGAAAACAAAAATAATAAGTCCAGATGATACTGAGCTCTTCTCGCTACAAGTCTGTAGCAACACAAAGCAATACGGTAAGCGCCAAGGCGCTAAAATCTAGAAGTAAACATTAGGTACATACTGGTACGGTGGAATGAGACACAACCCGTAGCAAACATTATCCATAGGTAAACAACACCGCCAATCGACGTTTCTCTATCCAGTTGTACATCCACACAGGCCTTCGACTCCGGATCCCTCTGTGCTGCCATAGGCTCGCGGTTTCTACTGCGTCGTGTCGTGGTTTGTACAATACAGAGACGACCGTATCACCGCATTAGTATGTACATGTAGTCGGGCTTCGCCTACGTCTTCAAAGGGCCGGTGTTGCCATGTAGAGTTGTAGCGAGAATGTCTTGCGGTACGTCGCGTAACTCGGAGTACCTTCGCGGGACTTGAAAATTGGAAGACAACCAGGACGCCGAAGGACGTCTTCTAAGCTCAACGGACCGTTCGATCGTTTGCGAAAAGGCTGAAGGGGAAGGAATGGTCTTCGCTACCTCTCGCTTAGACCTTGCTGGAAGTCCCGACACCTACTACGGAGTAGTTGCAGATTCTTATCGACGGCCTTCGTGAAGAGGCATTTCGCCTAGCTGCCGATGAGGGAGGTGGTGTTCTTGCTCTAGCATTCCCTTCTTCCTTGGATCGACAGTTGAGTGGACGTGGGCTTGAAAGCCAAACATCCGGGTTGGGTATCCCCGGCGTGCTTTTGCCAAGTGACCCGGTTGAACAGTCCAATAGACCTGACGCTCGATAGAGGATCATCCAGGCGCCATGCTTATAGCTCATTCTGGTTTTTGTCTCGACCCTACACCCCCGTTAAGCCACAAGTGGACACGGAGCGAGCACGCGGCCGCCTCGCTACGCTCGTGACTTCTTTTGTATGACCGCGTGGAAACGACGGCACCATTGGTGATGGTGGCAATGGGCCGTGCAAGTTGGCTGACGCTATCGATGGCCCTGCCACCACGGAGGGACGCTGGTGGGTAGGGTTCGGGTTTTTGAAAGCCTGGGTGCATGCTTGTCGGTTTTACTTCGGTAAGAATGGTCAGCACCTGAGGGCATTCTGGGATTATGGATAGCTAGTGAGTGGCACAAGAGAACCAACCCTCTTTCGAGGATCCTTACGGCTGAACGGTCTTTTTGGGTGCGTTTAACTCTCTGTTCTCTCAGTCTAGACCTTCCAGTCGACCGGCTGGTCGCGATCCTTTCAGAAAGCCATAAGCTTGGTGTTTGTGGACGTATGGCCATTGGCAAACTGCAAAGCCAATATCTTGACCTTGCGCAAAGCCAACAAATTTGAAAATAATTGTTTGCTGCTGGTTCCCAGGCCGTTATCTTACCACGTGGACGAAACTGTATTGATTTAAGCCTTTGGCGTTGGGCACTGTCTCGTTCTGTTCCTGTAATCCCAGGAACTTTTCAAGGACTGTTGAGTTAACAACTGTGTAAGCATCGTTACCAGGAAGTTCCAACTTGGTGCATCTTATGAGGATCGAAGCACCGACGAAGGGCATCATCCTTCAGTCCCTAAGGTAAAAAAAAAAAAAAGGTGTGAATCTCTTAATTAAACACATATACTGGAAGTTGCTGTTGTCATCTCTACTAAAGTCAAGCAAAGCTGATAGATTATCATGCGCATTGTGAAAGGCATGGAGTAACTGCTTGAACGTGCTTGACTTTTTTGGGTGGCGAAATGGTGACTCGGCACATGACTTAGAATCGGCACCATCACATTCGAGTTTCTTCACTGCTTCATCTTTCTGCTCCGTTCGGTCAATATCACTGAGAGCATGTGGCAGCTACACACACACACACACACACACACACACACACACACACACACTTGTTCTTTGCTCCTGTTTCTATAGACTTCTCTTCCAGGGTACAAGCTACTATCACGAGTACCAGAATAAATGGAGGGTTGGATCTTTTCGGATTTTCGATAGCCTCGTCGAGATGACTGCCGTGCCTCAATCATTGCTCACGGTGACATTATCTGAGTATCTGTGGCAATACGTTTACATCGGTCTGACCATCTAGGTCCTCATTTCTTTTTTCTTTTCTTTCAGGCGACTCCACTAACAGGTGTCCCCATACCTAGTCCGACGAGGCAGGCACCACCATACTTCAACACGTTTAATCCTTGCCATTTGCGAATTTTGTGATCTACCAATAGACGGTTCCAAGAATTTGCCATGATCTCCAACGAGGATTCGCAATCGATACCCTGGAAACTATGGAGGACAGCCCTGGTCTATTGCCTGGAAAGTTTCAACCAACGGAACTTGATTGGCTTGTCGAAAATGAGCCCAACACTTCCTGAGTACGATGGCACTCTCAATTACCCTAGCTTAATGTGTTTTACCTTGATCCTTGGGAAAATACCACAATATGTACATACTAGCGAGTTGCTAGTATCCTCTACGACACTGATGGCTGAGAACTGAGAACTCGACAACAAAGGTCAGTGCACTCCAATCTACCCGGGTGGTTGAAACTCAATCTGATGGACCCATTCTTTCAGTCCCAAGGACATGGACTTCCCGTCCATCAGCCGAACTAACCACCCACCAGGAAACGCGACCCGCCCTAAACAGCAATAATTGGCAATGGTTCTGGATCCATGGGGCCCGTGCCGGCTCGAGTTGGATCTGCCTATCCAGTGCCCAACTCCCTACGGAGTAGACTCTTAGCCCCATCTTCCTTTGGAGACTAACCGCGAATTGATTCCCCTTCTTTGGAACTACACGGGATCGGATCAACTTGGTCGTCGCACCATTATCACTCGGTTTGGCGAAGTTCTACTTTGAAACCCCCAAGGGGAGACGATGGGGCATAAGGCGTCGCGCTACCAATGCTAAGACTCAGCACAGGCTCGGTAGCGGTATGAGGACGGAATATCGACTGGAGCCCCCCTTCCGTCCCCTTCCAAAAATAATCACGATCTTCTCCAACGCATAGAAAGTGGGAGCGAGAAGAGAAGAGGGTCTGGAGCGGTAATTTACGGTGTACTAATTCCAGCACAAAATCTGTCAGCGGAGTATGACTAGGACTCCATAACATCGAATCCCCACCATCCCCTCTCCAACCCTTCCGCTGCGAATCGCTGTCCTCCAATAGATTTCCCCTCCCCCTCCCCAAGAGCTCACAGGCCACGGCGTCAGGAAGACGGCAAGCGATGCACAGATTCTCCACTCATCGGGATCCATGATGGACACTGCACTGACCCCATTCGGCCATGTCCTCCATCCACACGGTCGTGATCTCGACGAGGCTTGACCATACAGAGCAACGTATGCATGTAGACTGATCCGGATTGACCCTAGTCGACTCCAAAGATGAGGCGGGTCGGCTCTGGTGCTGAGGATTCAAGAGCACATGCATGTCTAGGATCTATCGCGGTGATCCTTTCTTTTTTCTTTTTTCTATTTCTTTTTCGGCCAGACATGGATGTGAGAAGACAGGTGCTATGCTCCATGTCGCTGAACATCTTTATGCTGTATGACCCATTGAAACCCATCTTTGTCTAAGAAAATTCGGGTCTCTTGACCGGGGAGCGCGACATCGACCGGGATGGAGTTGCATCCAGTCAAGCCCGCCTGTAAGCGAATCACGATCTCGCCACCCAAAAAGGACCAGGAAATATGGACGACGCCGGAGCTGATTCCGTCTGTCATCTTCAACGGAACCGTGGCTCTCAGTTGTCTAGAGAGTCCTAGTCGTGGTCGAAACTGGGTCACTGCCCATCCCGATTGCGCAGGACGAATACCTGCGACCTCGGACATGAACTCATACAACGACACACTGCCCCATGCATGGCAGTCAGATCGTTGCGAGACGTTGTCTTCAACCCAGGTAGTAACATTTGAGACAGCTGGTCCTGCCACGGTTTCCAGAAACTATGGAAGTTCTCGTACAATTGCACGCCGGCTAAACTCAGTGCTCTCAGCGTGTAGAAGGACATGGAGACGGATTCCTCGGTGAATAAGCCAGCACTCCTTTTCTGCAGGCTTTTTCGCAGCAGATCTTGTGCCTCTGGCCCGGCAACTGTTCCGCTCAGGACTGCCCATACCTGGCAGTGCAGACTGTAGTCGACTGGCTTGGCCTCCTTCACCAAGGTGTCGGCAAAGAACTCGCCGTCATAGCAATGTACCCTTATGGCCTCAATGATTTGCTCGGCCCGACTTTGATACTCTTGGGCGATAGATAGTCTTCCCGTCGCAGTTACCAGTTGCGCCGCTGTGGACAACGTGCATGCGTATAGCTGATTTGTGAAAATCGATATGCCTACTCGCTTGATTGCTGGTGGCACCCCATGTGGCTTCCATTGATCAGTCCAATCAACAAAGTTCCAAATCCCCGATCGCACCTCTGATGTGACCAGTCCATGGTCATCGATTCGAGAGTGAAATAGGATAAGACAGCATCAACCACCGGTAGGAACCGCGAAGCAAATTGGACGTCTCCAAAATACCTCAAATGATCTCCAATCATACAAATCCAATACAGCGAGAAATGCGGTATGAACTGCAGACGATGGGTAGGAGCCCGGCTTGCTGTCAAGCCAATTTGAGGCTGGAAGGTATTGTGTAGTTACATGATAGCCTATCTTGCAAGACAATCGTCGCCAGATATACTGTAAGTGAAAAGGGAAGAGCTGCGGACGTCCATGGCATACTGAAGTTGCTCATAGAACGGGCAATCCTCATAACAATCATGCATGCAATTGGACAGAGTTCGAAGGCTTGTGGTCCATAATTGCTGCCACGTCTGATCTTCAGATGATGTCTCGGATTCAACCTTGAAACTAGCATAAGTCTCGAGAGGATAGTTGACTGTTTCGATGTCAAGACCAAGGAGCACTAGATCTGCTAAGCCGGCATCGATTTGGATATTAAGGAACCGAAAGGTTCAGAAGTGAAATGGCATGAAGACTTCCTCGGTAGCTTCACGCTCGTGATATCCCAGGCCATCAAGGCCATCGGCTCCTTGGAACTGGTATGTCTTGTGGGCCATAGAACGCCTTGCTCAAATTGCGTCGATCTCCTTTTCTCCTCACCCACGGTGTCGATTCGGGTTCAGCTTCGTACCATTCCGAATATACGATCCGAAGCACACTGTCATTTGTCACAGGACGTTTGAAGCGAATCCGGAGAAAAGCCGTCATATGGGTTGGCATTTCCACATCAACTTGATGCTTTGTTCCAGCAGGGAGCAGCAGACCACTTTCGTCGTCATGTCTATCGGTCAGGACTGCCCCCCACCGCTGTGAAGCAATGATGCTTTCGACCTTGTGAACAGCTGAGCAGTGGACTCTTGTGACTTTATGGAGAGGCAATAGGCGCGGCGAGAGGTTCCACGGCAGCGCACTTCCGGTCGAATTCTTGAATTCTCGGATCATGGCTAGCTTCCAAATCAAGTTCGGTGCCTCACTTCTTTTCTGTGAGGTTTTCTCATAAATGTGAAGGAAATAGTCCTCCAGTTCGTCAACTCGCAGCGTGGTAGAAGGATCGATTGCTGTCTCCCATGAGGCACTGCTTTCCAGCTGACTTGCCCAACATCTGTCTTGTTCCGAAACCACGATTCGAAGCCCACCGAAAGGTGATCTTACAAAAGAGAGTGCAAAGGTTGTGGCATGAAAGAGACGGAGGACATGAACTGCGACGTCGTTGCGACCAGGTCGAAGAAAAGGCGCGATATCAACATCGTCGTAAAACCAAAGACTCCGGTCTCCCTTGACCGGGCCGAAAGCGACTCGTTGGCTGTTCACGTACAGTTTGTATCGTGTATCGGCTATTATTTGAAGAGTGAGAGGGGATGGAATCTCTGTTGGAATGTTCAGGTCTTTTCTGAAATGCAAACAGGCCGGCTGTGTCGGTGCGGTCTTCCGTGAAATCTGGATGCCACATCCAGCTTCTGTCAAATTCAAGAGACATGATATCTATCTGTCGATGCGTCGGCAATCTGGTCGAGAAAGGTGGTTTTGGTGAATAGCCAGCGGTACGATGGGTGTCAATTGTGCTTTCTTCGGACAACAGCGGCTTACTCTACCATATGGCACAGGGTACCAGCCAGGCTCTCGGTCATTTCGGTCCAACTCGCCTCGATTATAGACCGATGCGGGCTTCATTCTATCGAAAGACCGAACTTGAAAGAGTCCTCGCCACGCTCGAAATTGGCCGGGGCTTTGTATTGATAGGAAAGGCTCAAGGATTTTGGTTAGCGCATCCTACCTATCCAACTGTCTGTGGCATGATTGGTTGATTACAAGTGTAAATTTCCCCGGCCATTGCTGGAGCTTACCAAGATAGGTGGTGGATACGCAATACGAACCTTGTTGGCAATTCATGGCTTAATCGGCGTTTGATATCCTCTCTATGGCTAATTCCTCCTGACACGGGCGATTCTGGGCTCAATTATGCTCGGATTGGGGCCCCGGATTTACAATCTCCAGTATGCTTCCCCGCGCTTTCGACTCCATTCACCAAGCCACAATATAGCTAAACATCGGCACCTGAGGGTGTGTCGGCTTTTGAGGAAATGTCGGCGCCTGAGAAGAGAAAGAGGAGAGAGCAATTCCACAGAAGAAAAACACAAAGTAAAGGCACAGGGTTCCCGACGGGCTCCCCTGCATAAGTTGCCTTACGGTTGTTGTTCGCTGGCCAGAAGTTTTCCTTTCCCAGAGACCTTTCACATAGGGACATCATGGCGACACAGACAGACAGAATTAACGAGGACGAAGGAAAGAGCGTGGGCCAACACCTTGAGTCTACTGGCGAGAACACCAAGGCTGGAGAGGTCGCACTAAAATCACAGGCTGATGACCTGGGCATCTGGGCAACGGTCAAAAGATTCCCGAAGGCCGTCTTGGTGTGCAATTTGCTGTGCATCGCTGCAGCTGCAGATGGTTATCAGATTAACTTGAACGGTCGGTCACCCCTACTCACTCGGATGTGCTGTCTGCTCCTTATCGGCTGAACATCTATTGTAGGAAACATCATAGCAGATCAGGGCTTCATCAATCATGTTGGCTTCTTGGTCTCCACTGGCGAGAGGGCGCTCAAGGCCAACTACACAGCTTTATGAGGCGCCATGCGGTCGCTCGGTCAATTGATTGGCATGGTCCTGATGAACCCCATTTCCGATCTCGTCGGCCGAAAGGTGACGCTATATGGTATCTGGGTCGTCCTTGCTGCGGTGAGATTTCATGTATGCTTGGTTGCGGGTGCCCTCCTCTAATTATCTATCCTTCTAGTCACTCGTTATCGAGACAATCGTTTGAGGCTGGAAAGATTGGACTGGGGCAAAATTGTTGGCTGGCGTCGGAATAGGTGCCATTCAGGCCACGCTTCCCATCTATGTAATGGAGTGGTCCCCCGTTAACATCCGCGGTGCCATGATCGTCACCTATGGGTTCTGGAACGTTATTGAAATGTTTCTTGCTAATCTGGTCCTCATGCCGGTGCAAAGCACCAACCCTAATAATTACAAGATCCCTATCGTGACGCAGTGGGAATTCCTGGGAATCATGTTACCCATCTTCCTTTGGCTGCTTGAGACGCCTGGTGAGTTACTCCTCGCATGGTTTTTTTTTTTTCTCGGTTGCTAATCGTACTGGGGATCTTCAAGCCTACTATGCCGAGCGCGACATGGACGAGCTAGGTAAAAAGACGCTCAAACGTGTCAATGGATCCGTCAAGGATGACAACGTGGAAACCGAGTATGCCATCATTAAGAATACTATTATCGAGGAGCGACACGCTCGCATGGAACTTGGCCAGACGGGCTTGACCTGACAAGAGTTGATCAGATCCTACCTTGAGTGCTTCCAGCGTACCAATGTCCGTCGCACGATTGGGGCCGCCTTGCCGGGCTGTGCTCAGCAGTTGGCCGTTTTATCTTTTCTCAACACCTATGCTAGTCTATTTTTCAAACAGAGCGGATTTGATAATGCATTCCTCATTACCACCATCATGTGTAAGTGCATTCGACGGCAGACGTATTCTCATCCTCTGGGCACATATGAGATATACTGACAATTCCTCTCTTCAGGTTCGATCCAGCTTTTCACTGCCCTGTGCTTGATGCTTCTCACAGATAGCTTCGGTCGCCGAAACATGGTTTTTGTCTCTGTCATCATCTGCACCGTCACGCTCTTGCTAGTTGGTATATTGGCATTTGTAGCCAAGACAGCTGGGGTCAAGGCGTTCCTCGTCATTGTCGCATGTGTCTGGGCTTTCGCCAACAGCACTGGTGAGGTTCCTTCGCATCACCTAGTATGAGACATTATTAATGGTTGATTTAGTTGGCAGCTTAGGATTCGCATTCGTCGGGGAGGTCTCCTCTCAAAAGCTGCGAGCCAGAACCGCAGGTGTAGCTACCGGGTGATCGGTGCTCTTTGGTCTGACCTTTAACACATCCCTACCTATTATCCGCAAGATTCCCCGCTCTCATTTTTATATGCTGGTGGCTAACATAAACGGGTTTCAGTGGATCTCAATGGGGTGAATTGTGGGTGCAAAACGGCCTGGCTTTTCTTCGGCTGTGGAATAATGGTCTGCATTCTTCTCTACATCTTTCTCCCCGAATGCTCTCGCCGAAATGCCGCTGAGATCGATGAGATGTATCAAAAGGGTTTTCTTGCCTAGAAGATGAAGAATTATGTTACCGAGGTGCAGACTATGCATCAGGTTCATTAGAGTGTGGTTTGCGGTAGTTGAGAATTCATCATGGTCATCCCCTGGTGAGCTTTTCTTCTTGGGTATCATGTTCAGTTTTTTTTTTTTTTTTTTTTTTTTTTTTGTGGTGTTTTGTCTGTTTTGGAGGCTTGTATTAAATACCGCAATCTGGTGTATTGGCTTTTGTATGTAATTGTCTTGAACACTGGCCAAATATTTTTATTGAATTGACGGCCCACTAGATATATGTTCCACCCAGGTACCACTTTCTGCTCATACATAATAGATAGAAACAATAACACAACTATCTACCTATATATGGCGATAAGTACATGCCATATCCGACAATATCGATTCAAATCCATCCTCGGACCCCACAAGATTCCATATGAGTGACATGTCTCATACAGCCAGAACTAGACATAGCCAGAGCCTTACCTGGGGATATCGCTGACATTTAAAACAATCTTGGTTATAGTACAAAAAATGACAGTCCTGTTTTAAAGATTGGCCGGTTGGTGTAGTTGGTTATCACGTATCGTTAACACCGATAAGGTCCTGGGATCGAGCCCCAGACTGGTCATTCATTTTTGCTTTTTTGCATATTCGAGTTAAGTCCCGCTTGCTAGAAGGATGATCTCTTTCTTGCCTTTTTTTTTTGCCCCCTTGTCTCAATTGAAATTGTTTGAGTTCAGTATCATCATTTTTTAACACGTCCATGCAATACACCATCTAGTGCTCTTGGTTACGCAGCCACGTTGTGCACTTTCTATGAATTATTATCAATAGTATAGTGCATCTACCCTTGACTTAGAAGCCAAGGGCACCCGGGGAGGGAAAGCACGAGATTGGGAGGAGCTGATAATATGGAGCCATTGAATGGGAGAGAGATGATCTGATGATGGAGGAGAGAGTGAGTGAGGTACTTCACCTCAGGTGGTGCTGATGCCCGTGGTCGACCACCCAGTCTCAGCCATGGGCATCGTGTATACGGGCCCGTCAACATGTCATTTATCATTAGTCTCGGGGTTAGTTCCATTTAGTGCTTGGCTGAATGACGAAAGCTCTTAGTTACTCCATGTGTCCGGTCTATATAAAAACCACACAAGGAGACGAACCCCGGAATAATAAATCTACAAGTGGAAATCACCAAGAGAATATATAGCAAGTCTCGCAAATGATACTACCTGGGTTCAATTTAAACTATTTCAAGAATAACATGCCCAGTAGTAGGCGACATACGAGAGAAAAGCCATGGAATAAATGACAGAGCAAGAGAAAATGTGACCGACACAGTCCACAAAATCCCCGCAAGCTAACCGAATAGCTCGCGCTCCTTGCGCAAAGACACCTCAAATCGCCAGTCTCTCCACCTTATTCTTAATCTGCTGAATCTGGGCAGCCAAATCACTCGCCTCGTTCGAGGTGATGCTAGCGGCAATAAGAGGCCGACTCACACCACACGCGCGTCCAAGTGCAAGTTTACTCGGAACAAAAACATACGGAACGTTCTTGTCTTCGCAAAGAAGGGGGAGATGCATCACGATCGCGAGGGGGGAAGTATTGCCGGCCATGATGATAAGCTCGGAGACGCCGCGATTGACGGTCTTCGTGGCTGAAGGCGAAGATACGTTAGCTAGAGTACTACTAAGAAAGAAAAAGGAACCAACTAACCTTCGTTCGCCCCCTTTTTGACTTGACGATAGTGGGTACCTTGCTGTACTAGATCGAGAAGCTCCTGTGTCAACGCCTCATCGGCCATTGGCCAAGCTGGAAAGCAAATTAGTATTTCTAATTAAATGCCAATCGTAAAGGGTAGACGCTCTTACCTGCATTCTCGGAGTCCATGGTTTCTTGAAAACGGCTCGCCGGGTTAACGGTTCACGGCCTGGTAAAGGTTTGTGGGTGGGTAAGGAAGCGGGATGGAAAGGGTTGTTTAGTTTAGTTTAGTTTAGTTTAGTTATATTTTACGGCCGCGGTTCACCGCCTAGGCACGTGACCCGCCATCCCCTGCTGGGGCAAAGGCCGCCAGGGGGTAAGCCCTGGGCGTCACTAACTAGTTCTATATAAAGTTCTAGTTCTAAGTACAAAATTAAGGGACTTTAGCGCTTTGAATAGCTGCCGCAGTCAAGAAGGAAAGCCTGAAGACCAGGCAGGAAGTTATTGCCAGCTGCAAAGGTCCTCCTAAACACCATGACCTATCCTACTACCTCTATCATTTTTTTTTTTTTTGGGGGGGGGTCCTCAGTCTGGCTGAGGTAATGGATGCCGAATGCATATATCTTCAAAGAAGCGGACTTCTGATAGCCACGTAGCCAGCTCAGTTGCCCCTTTTGGGGTGCCTAGCAGGTAGGGAATTATGTCAGAGGGGGGTCCTGGAGGTCGGGGCATGCGTCTTTTTGCAACGCTGCAGAAAAGGAAGTGGACTGTAGTTTTTCTTGCACCGCAGCGACAGAAAAGGTAGGCATCTTCATGATTGAACCGCTCGTGATAGGCTGCAAAGTCTCCGTGGCCTGTGCGAGAAGCTAGAATTCGTGCTAGAAGTGGCCTTGAGAGCTTTAGCTCTGCAGGACATCTAGGGTAGTTGGTAATCCAGAGATCTTGATAGGATTGAGGAGCCGAGGCCTGCCAGTATCTTTGAAGGGCAGTTCTGACGTTTGCCCTAGCCTGCCGCCTTAGCGAGGCATGCGAGTGTTTGCTTGAAATAGGAGGATCTATAGTAGCACCCTTCTTTGCAGCTTGATCAGCTGCCTCGTTTTCAGGTATTCGTGTGTGGCCAGGAACCCAGCAGACCCGTACAGTGCCGCCATTGGTATATGAGAATCTCTCCCGTGCCAGCCAGGACTGGGCTAGGGTTTGGAAGGATTCGAAGACCCCTTGAGATGAGCCCGTGAAAGGAGAAAGAAGGCGCGTAGCTACCTCCAGATTATCAAGACAAATCCAGAGGTTAGTGGCGAAGCGAGCAGTACCCAATTTGAAAGCTGCTTTAAGTCCTGCTAAAGCTGCCTCAGCTTCAGCATCAAAGACCTCTTTATTCGGTCCTAGGGAAAAGGAAGACTGCTGAAATAGCATTCCAGATTGATACAGGGCATAACCGCTGCCTGCCATTCCGTTTTCTAGTTTCGAGCCGTCTGTAAAGACCTTTATATCGGTCTGTAGAAGAGAGGCGTAGAATCTTTGAAACCTAGCAGCTGCCTGTTTCTTGGATACGCCTATAGGGGCCTTGATGCGCCGTTGAACTGCTTCGCGTGCCTCTTGTGGGATCCAGGGGGCATTTTGCAGTGGGTTCAGTTGTTCTGACTCAGGGAGAGCTAGCACGCGGCGTGCAAAGCGACTATCCTGAAAGCCGGTTCGGGTTACCCTTTCTGCTCTCCTGCGGAGAGGGTGGTAGGGATCAAGACGGCGGAGACGGACTGTAGCAGTAGCAGCTAGATAGTTTAGCTCAATCTCTGCTGGCAGAAGTCCTGACTCCCGGTAAAGTGCAGGGATTGGAGTAGTACGATAGACTGGAAGAATCGCTCTGGCCCCAGCTAGTATCACTCGGGTTATCTTGTCAAGGAGACTCTGGACTTTGTTTGAGATTGTCCTCGTATCAGGGCCGAGGCGAGTCCGGCCTGGCCACCATGTTTCTGCGCCATAGTAGACTCTGCGGAGTACGCAGGCCTTAACAGCTTGCTGTATAAGGTAAGGGTTAACTCCGCGTACTGTATTCCCAAGGGAACGCAATGCATTTGCAACAGTTATAGCTTTGGAGGCCATTTCTTTGACATGATATTTGAAGCTGAGTTTCTTGTCGAAAAGGATTCCTAGCCAGCGAAGGTAAGGGCGTACTCTGTTCTCTGAGACTGTGACAGATCCCGCTATCACTGGTGGTGTACGGCTAGGGTCTTGATCAGTTATACGTCGTGAAAAGTGTATCAGTTCATATTTATCTGGTGCAAAAGTAATTCCCTGTGCCAGACCCCAGTCCAGGGCTTCCTGTAGGGAATCTGATAGGTTCTGGGCATTCGCCTCTAGGGAAAGAGAGGTTGCTAGGAAGGCTCCGTCATCTGCGTATCCGAATCTAGCCCTTATATTGCCCATCCAGAATAGGGGGGCCAGATAGAGCATAAACAGGATAGGGG